CTCGGGGGGACCCCCTGATGCATCCCCAGCCCCCCCATTGGCCCCGTGGCTGTCACAAGGCCCCGGAGCCCCCGCGGCGAGCGGAGCTTCCCCGCGGCGCAGCGTTAGTGGATAATCACGGAGCCGGAGCGAGGAGCATCTCCAAACGCAGCTGGAGAGGGAGCCAGGCACGGGAATTACTGAGACCCAGGCGTTTCCTGCAGCTTTTGACAGTTCATAAACAAACCACACGGGTCCAGCTGGTTTCTGGGAGGAAAAAAACAACTCGGGGGCAGCGCGTGGGCAGCTGGAAGGGCACCGTCCTGCTCTGCCCTGCTCCAGGACGGTCCCCAGCACCATCCCGGGATCCAGCCCTTCCCTCCACGGTCCCAGAAGGAGCTGGAGCCGTTTACAAATTCCGTGAGGCATCCGAGTGATTTGTGTAAATCACTTTTTAAAGCTCCTAAATAACTTATAAGCGCCGGGAAAGCGCCCGCACGGATCCGTCGAGTCGGGATTCACCTTGGGCATCCCCGAGGCTGCAGCTCTTCCTCATCCTCCGAGGGCTCTTCCCCCACGTCTGCCTCTCTCCACGGCTCAGCAGCAGCAGCAGTTTGACCCCGGGGGTTGCATCATTTTCCAGACGAGCGGAGCTGATCGGAGGTGACGGAGCAGAGGAGCGAGATCGGGATCGTTTTCCAGGGATGACTCGGGACCGTTTTCCAGGGATGACTCGGGACTGTTTTCCAGGGATGACTTCGGGCAGTGGGTCAGGAGTGCCCCCAACTCTCTTGTCTCATTCTCAGCTCGGAGATTTTCCGGTGTCACCGTGTTTTGCCCGAAGCAAATCATCCAGAAAACAGCCGGGAATGGCTCAGCCTCCCCCGGGGCACCAACGCTGCTCCTCCCTGCCCCAGGCATGGGACCATTTTCCAGGGATAACTCGGCTCTCCCGGGAAGGGCAGCGGATCAGGATCACCCCAACTCTGTTATCTCATCCTCAGCTCGGAGATTTTCCGTGTTTTGCCCGAAGCAAATCATCCCGAAAACAACCGGGAGAGGCTCAACCCCCCGGGCACCAATGCTGCTCCTCCCTGCCCTGACTCCACCTGGGGCTTCCCCAGGCACCAGGATTTGGGATCCCTCGAGGATTTGGGATCCCTGGGCTGCTCCTGGCTTTGCTCACACCACACTGATGGGAAGGTGGAGACAGGAGCTCCTGCTGGAATCTGGTTGCATTTCCCACTCCCTCTGCAGCGGGACAGGGACTCTCCAGTGCTCCAGTGCTGAGCCCACCCTGACCTCGGCCAGGACAGGGAAGAGGAGGGTCAGGAGGAAGCAGGATGAGGGCACCGGTGCTGGGCAGGGCACAGTGAGAGGCTGGCACGTGCCTGTGCCTTGGCACTGCCTCGTTAGAGCTCTGGTGAATCATCCAGGGCCTGGAACCTCTGGGAGCTGGACAGTGATGGGATTAGGGAAGGAGGGAGGCACAGCCTGAGGGGTCACATCCCCGGAGATCCTGGCACAGCCAGAGGGGTCACAAACACACACTCGGGGCTTTTTGCACACCCAGAGGGGTCACAAACACACCCAAAGCTCTGTGCACACCCAGAGGTGTCACACACAGAGCTCCTGGAACACCCAGAGGTGTCACAAACACACCCCCAGAGCTCCTGGAACATCCAGAGGGGTCACAAACACACCCCCAAAGCTCTGTGCACACAT